ACGAGAGAGAGTAAGATGGGGGGTATCAGAGGTCCGGTCGGACTCCGGACCGAAGGGCCAAGAGTGACGGGAGCCCCGACGTGCGCTAGTGTTGCTCTGTTCGGCTTTAGAGTCCTAGAGCCGAGCAGAGAGAATCGGAATGATCCGTATGCTTTTCGTTGGGATCCTTGGTCGTTCGAATTGATCGTCCTCGTTTTGGAGAGAGCGCATCCTCTTTTATAGATGAAGGGAATTGCTTTACAGGAGAAAGAGTGTGTGAGAGAAAGGGAGTGTATGTGCTACCTAGTCTTGTTGCCCACGCCGTCGGGTACAAGGTGTTTTGTCGACGCCCATAACACTGTTGATGTCCGGATGCATGTGGTAGGCTCCATTGTGATCTTCTGGTATGGCCAATGTCGGCGTCTACCATATTGTAGGATAAATATCGGTGCACACAACATTGTTGGTGTTCTGACATGTTTGGAAGGTTGCGGTGTATCCTTCTGACATGGCCTGATAGTACTGTCCTGCAGGTGTGCAGGGCACGGTCCTTGATATTGCGATTGACTGGAGCGCCCTGCCTTACTTACTCTGTCCGTTACCTGGGTCTTCACCGAGCGGGCGTCCTCGGTCGGTCGTTCTCCAGTCAGCTCCGGCCTCTCGGTCGGAGAAGAGCTGTAAGCAGAGGTTCGGTGTACTCCCGGTCGGAGAAGCGAGTCAGAGTCGGAGGCGAGCGTCGTCCCTTTTCATCCAGGCCTTCCGGTCGGAGAGGCGGTCCAGAGTCGGAAGCGACGAAAGCGAACACCGTCCCTCCTTGGCTAGGCCTTCCGGTCAGAGAGGCGAGTCAGAGTCGAAGGCGAGCGTCGTCCCTTCTCGGTCAGGTCTTCCGGTCAGAGAGGCGAGTCAGAGTCGGAGGCAAGCGTCGTCCCTTCTCGGCGAGGCCTTCCGGTCGGAGAGGCAGGCTGAAGTCGGAAGCGAGCGCCGGAATCAAAGGCAAGCTGGCTAGGCCTTCTAGTCGTAGAGCGGGCCAGAGTCGGAGGCGAGCGTTGGTCCTCCTTGGCCAGGCCTTCCGGTCGGAGACTAGATGCCCCTGGCCTATCGTTAGGTTTTTGGGGCGACCTAGGAGTTGTGTGTCGTTCGCAACGTTGTCTACTGAGCCGAGCTTTTGCTGGAAAGCAGGTCCATGAGGTAACCCGGGTTTATGAACCCGACAGTTTCCTTACAATGCCGCGGGCGAGGAGAGATAGAGAACCTCAGCACTGAACCGACATCCATGTATTCTTTGTATACACTAATGAGTGAGAGGATATGTTATTGAACAGTTCCGCTGCGTGAAACCAAATTGTGTGATATAAGAGTAATTATGTACGCTTGCTACCATTCTTTTCCCCTCAACACACTTCCTTACAATGTTGCAGGTGAGGAGCGACTGGTCGCCGATGGTTATTTGTGTGTGTGTGTTTCACAGTGCACATGAACCATCATCCATGTATTTTGTGTGTAATCCACATTAACAATGTAACACATGTGAGATTGGGCCTTGTTGATAGCCAAATTAAGTTGTCAAAGGCATAATGGACTTCACCATTGTATTTCCCTCAGAAAAAGTCCATTTTGCCTCCCTTTGAGTTGGGGAAGGAAAAGCTGACTTTCGCGATAGTTGAGGAAGGCAAAATAGACTTTTTTCTTTCCCTCGCCAAGACGACCGAAAAAACATATGTGGATTTTAGATGAAGAAAGGGAGATTTTGAGGACTGATGCAGACAAAGTCTGACCGAATCCTAGAACCAGCCAGGCCGGATTTGGCCAGACCGTTTTTGAAAAAAAAAACAGCCAAGCCACCCTGTAAAAACCGGCTAGGGCATTTTTCCTGGTCCGAACCCTGTGTTGAATCTAACTTGATGAAAACTTGCCCAATATCATGGAAAACTTGTAGATTTTGTGTGGGAAAGATTTTCTACTATGATAAGACCACCCCTTCTATATATATTAGAGGATCATGGCCGACTGAGATAATAACCCAACTACATCGGCAAAATCAAAAGGTATAATGGACTCAACCATTACGTATCTCCCGTCGAGACGATCAAAAAACATATATGAAGCATGTCGTTTGGAGTCCAGTTGAAAAAAGGAGATTTTGGGGTTGACGTAGAAAAACAGGCCTGGATGGATTCAGATCCAGCCCCAGCTCATGTCAATGCTCAAGTGGTAGTATAGCTGCGACTATGAGGTACTAATCGTATTTTAGATCTTCTCTGGCAGGAGAGTTTTGTTAAGGTTTCTCCACTGGTTTAATAAAAAAAAACCTACTAAATGGATACACATGTGAACAATTTCTAAAGCCAAGACCAACCCAAAAACAGTGATGCTGAAGTTGTTTTTGGCCAGAAACCAAAGTCACTAAAACTTAACTTTTCCGTGCCTTCACCATTTTTTAGAGACGCTAGATCCAGGTCCAATTTTATTCAATGATCTTATAGTTAAGAATTTGTTGGCGAGTAGATATATATATGGAGAGGTGGGGCTGTTGGTTAAGGCGTCGTATACGCTATATACACCCGCTCCGCTCACCCCTTCCTAATGCCGTATCCGAATGGGAAGCGCATTGACCATATATCCGCGCGCTCTCGATAAGATCAAGAAGAGCGTGCGCAAGTACGCACAGGAGGCCATCACGCTGCATGCCATGGCCATGGAGGCAGTGGGCGAGAGCGACGCGGCCGTCCAGGGGCACGGAGGCGGCGAGGTCAGTCCCAACCGGCCATACCGGCAGTTCCGATAGTAGGTGTGAGTTTGTGATCTAATTCAGCAGGTGAAAAATGCGAAGAAATATAAACATCAAACGAATAGTGAAAGTTGATCTCAACATTTACATAGACTTCAGGTTCCCAATAGAAAGTGTTTCATTAGCTTCTTGCCTTTTTCAAAACAATGCACAAATTGACTGAAACTTATAAAGTCTATATAAAATCAAAATCTAATCCAAAAACTACAATTCAAATTTTGTTAAGTTCATTTCTACCAGAGAGTGTTACCGTGTCATTGCGTGTGAAATATAAATCTTGAAAAGCCTAAGAGCATGTACAACCCATATACAATCTACTCGAAAGTCAGTCTGAAGAATTGGCATATGCGTGAATCATTTTGGCCCAGACTGTCTTTTCTTCTTTTGTCACCTGCCCTCTGCTGTCATTTTGATAGATATCGATGTGTCGCTGAGACAGTCAGACTGATCGGTAGCCGTCTGGTGTTGTTTTGTTTTAGTTATAGGGCTATTTGGTTTGACGAAAAGAGAATGGCGTGGGGGAGTAAATACAAAGAGAATATGATCAAAAAGCCTAAATGCATTTGGAAATAGTTTAGGTTCCCAATGCAAAAATTGTTTAATAGCTCTGAAAATGATCGAATCGTTGCAGTAGACATGGATAAAAATGTGTGGCCTCGGTGCAACGCACAAACACAAATATAGTATAGTAATAAGTAAATAAATAAACTCTTAATAAATAATCTTAACTTGAATTGATTGAATGGATCGATCAATGACTGTTGACAGATAATAATTTTTTTGACGAGAATCTATGGAGGGGAGAGCTTCCCCGCCTAGATTATATTAAGAACAATCGAGAGTACAATCATGATACATATATAACATATATATACTTGCAGTTAATCGAAGCCCAGAGCTATTATATAGAGTAAGCTTCAATTCACAGACATATATATATAGATGGACGATGTAAAAATTGTGGAATAAAGAAGTGAAAAGGTATTATTTAATTTATTGGTACCTGCTAGGTATAGTATATATGTAGCGCGCGAAAATCCATATGCATGCATGCATGGTCAATGCAAGAACAAATTAATTAAATAAATTAAAGATGCTATTATGTATGTTTGTAATAATTAAGCCGTGGTGGATTCCTTGAGGTAGGCGATGAGATCGGTGCGCTCCTTGGGCTTCTTGAGCCCCGGGAAGACCATCTTTGTGCCCGGGATGTACTTCTTGGGGTTGAGGAGGTAGTCGTACAGGGTGGCCTCCTCCCACACGACGGCCATGTTCTTGTTGGCCGTGGAGTAGGCGTAGCCGAGGGTGGTGCCGGACTGGCGGCCGAAGAGGCCGTGCAGGTTGGGCCCCTGCTTGTGCGCGCCGCCTCGCTCCACCGTATGGCACTGCGCGCACTTGGTGCGGAAGATCTTCTCGCCGCTGCCGGCGTCACCGACAGGGGCCTCGCCGAAGGAAGCCATGGCACGGCAGCAGATCTCGAGAGATGATTAATTGTACTGTCGTCGTCGACCGCCTGTACGTGTGCGAGGATCGGAGTTGATGATCGATCGAACAAGTACACAGGCACATGGATATATGCATGATCCGCGCTCGTCCGATCGACACCGACACCAATATAGTGCTTAACTAATTAAGTAGACACTAACAATAGCAAGTAGAGATATCGAAGAGGGCGGGCGACCCATCGATCGATCGATGGTGCCCGACGGATCAGGATCAGCTTCAATGGATGAAAAAAAATTAAAGCAACATTTCTAAATACATAACTGTTGCCTACATTGTAGAAGTAAGTAATGTATCTATAAAAACTAAAAACTTCTCTCGTAATTTGAAACCGAAGAAGTGTAGTATGGGTGTGTCTACATATCTGGCGACAGATTTTTCAACCAAAAATCTGTCAAATTTTTGACAAATCAAAAGCTAACACGTCAGCCAACAAAATGACAGTTTCGCAATAAAAAAATCTGCCAGATTTTGCAACACCCGTTAGCATTAGCACAAAAGATCCAAAACCCAACAACAAACAACTATACATCGTCGCAAGGGCTCCACACCGCGTCGCTCTGCACGCCGTACCTCCTCCTGGTGCCGCTGGGCCTCCTCGCTCTGCTGCTGGCGCTCCGAGCCTCGGCTCCTTCCGTGCCCGTTTTCCCAGGGCCTCAACATGCTCAGCCGCAGCGCGGGCACCGACGACGGTGGCTACTACTCCGCCGCGCCAGGCGCCGACGAGGAGATGGCCTCCGCCGTCGCCGACGCCGAGACGCTGCCACGGCCGCCGGAAAATCAGCCTGCTCGTGGGCGTGCTGACCATGCCGAGCCGGCGGGAGTGGCGGGACATCGTATGGATGGCCTATGCGCTGCAGCCGGCGCTGGCGGCGCCCGCGGGCGTGGCGCGTGGGGACGTCCGCTTTGTCTTCTGCAACGTGAGTACGTGACTGACCCGGTGGACGCCGCGCTGATGGCGGTGGAGGCCGGCGCAAAGATTTACATGCTGGTGCTCGACTGCACCGAGAACATGAACGACGACAGAGAAAGACTCCGCCCTGAATCTTGGCTGGGAGAAGCTGGAAGATGTCGTAAATCTGCATTTCACCAAAGAAATAAAGCCAGCAGCCATAAATCAGTCAGAGAAGGATAAAACAGATAGCACATTATAGACTTGATCTTCAGATTGCTGCTAGAAAAGACAATAGAATTATACGAGTCGTTTGGCACAAGATTTCCTGACTGAATCATGTCAATGGTTAAAGCTAAACACAAAGAAACTAACAAATGAAATCAAATGTGGCAAAGTATTTTTAAACTTCATCTCTGCATTTACTAGCAAAGAATACAGGTACCATGATCAAGTATAGAGAAAGTAGAAATAAAATAGAAGAGTTTACTTGATCCTTGAAACTACGAGAAAGCATTTCATCAGCTTCATCAAAGAACAAACATCTTGATGTTATCAGGGCGGAGGGACACCCTACGCAGCATGTCAAACACACGACCAGGTTTACCAACAACAACATGCACACAGCTGGCTAGAAATCCTTTTGGTCCTTGCGGACAGATGTTCCTCCCACACATGCATTTTAACACCCAGCTAATCACCAAGCGCGCGCATGAATTGTGCTTGCTGAATGACATCAAGCCCCTTGCAGAAGGGAACAATTCCTCTCTGCTGAATTGCAGAAGGCTTCTCAAGACCTACACAGCAAAGAACTGGTGGTAAGAGGAATACCATGTAAAAGGCAAATAGGCTAAAACAAAACAGACTTCCAGCCTACCATAAGCATAAATGCCTCTCAGAAGATTCTCTTGGAGGCCCATGTCATCAAAACTCTCAAAAACTTCATCATATGAAGTGAAGAACTCCTCAGTCTCACCGTGCTCCTGTACTACATGAACATATAGAGGTAAAGTTATTAGATACCACTTGGCTCTCAGGTAAAAAGATGGTAAAAACAAGTAGGTAAGGTTTTTTTTTTAAAGAATTATTTATATTCCTGTATTTTAGAATCATAGTGCTTAGCATCGAACTGAGAACCCTCAGGTGCCATTCCTGCCATGACTGTAGCCAACAAAACAACATGTTAAGACACAGAAGTTATAGTACATGTGAACAATATGACAGGCAAACAAAAAGGTTTAATCAGGAACCTAGATCAAAAGGATGTATACAAAATCATGAACAGCGGCACAATTTAAGCTTATAACAGAACTTGCCTAAAAGACTACAGCAAGAAAGGTGTTTGTGCACATACAAATTTGTTCAGATACAAGACAAACACAGACACACAAACACAAAAACAGAGGGGGAGAGAGAGAGCACACAAAGACACACACTAGCAACGCCAGAAAAACACATGCACCCAGACACACAAACACCCACAAACGATGACATCCTTGCTATTTAATCTTGAATGAGAACCTAGCTTCGATGACAAGTAATTAGCAGGCTCGGTAAAAAGAGGGGAAAAAAAGGAACCAATTGCTATGAAAGCTTCAGTGTCTCGGAGGAAAATGACAGTCACTAAGCAATGTCACACTCACATTAGACCAAACATCATCTAAAAATAGACACCTAACAGTAACAAAAATATTTAACTGAATAACTGAACATGTTTCGAGATAAGGGCCATATATCAGTCACTTCACACTTTACCCAATTTAGACCCTTTACTTAAAATGGAGGTTTTCACCATGGTAGAAGGAATATAAAGAAAAATGTGAATGAATGACAACATGCAGCTCTTCAACAACTAAATAAGTCACACCATAACCTTTACTACCACATCACAGAAGTGAGTAACCAAATGTTTGATGCACCAAACTGAGGAAAAACTAAGCAGCATTAGGTAGCAAGAAAACATACATCTTGGAAGGCCTTAGAATGGATGCTGCAAGCATCAGTGTCCATCGCTGGAGCAGCAGGGGCAGCAGCAGCCTCTGAGACAACAGTCTCATGCTGAATGGTCCGGGACCCAATACAGCATCAACAACCCTGTGTGCCATGGCACTAACAGTACCAAATGTCATACCTAAAACAAAGTGTTAGTTCAAATTATAATTCGAGGATTATAATGTTTATATCTGAAGCTATTCTGAAAAGAACAAGCTTTGAATGCCTACCTTGAGCAATGGTGGACCCGATTCCTCCAAGCATGGAGCCACCGCCATCCTGGCACAGGAGCTGGAGGAGGAGCCTGGCGCGCTGCCAAAAAGAATCTGTGTTTAGGAACAGAAATGAAACACATTGTAATTTCAATGCAAAAACAGAATGGACTGTAATTCCAATATAAAATGAACATAATATTAATTCTGGTTCCAATGCAATCAACAATTATACTTGTACCACAAATCCATATGTCAGCATCAGGGAGAGAGAGAGAGAAACACACACACAACCACACACTCACACTCACCTAAATTGACCGTTACAACTCTGAACATTACACCAAAAATTCAACTATAGCTTCTATTGCTTCCTGACACATCAAATAGTCAACAAATAAATAAAGAAGAGACAATCAGAAGTTTACAGATCTTCTTAAAGACAATTAGCTGCCAAATTTTTTAAAAAAAACTTAATTGAACATTACAAATCTAACAAAAACAGCTAAAAAATACAATCAACTCAACTAAATAGAAAATCAAAACTCTACAAATTACAGCTAATGGCAAACAAAAAATAGACATAACTACCACAGGCAAAAAAGTGAAGCCTAAAAAAAGGCCCACAAAAAGAAAACCCATAAACACAGGGCCATCATAACAGAGTAAGACACGCAAATTATCATAACTACGCCAACACAAGGTCAGTGGCATTACCACTACGTCTGCAAAAACTAACACCGCTTAATCTAAGCACAGAACACCAAAATATCAGCAAAAGCAGCAGGTCAAAGCGCACAAATATTAGCAAAAGCTGGTGGTCAAAGGCAACATAACAACATACAGGTAGATAACTTCAGTTTTCAGAATTGAAATAGCACTATCAGCTACCAGTTTACACAGATGCAGTTCACACTATGAAGTTACCAGTTTACAGAAATAGCACTTGTAACAGAACCGTCCAATTTATAAGAGCACAAGTACAATAGCAACCACCGAGGCAGTCAAACCATCACACTTGAGCCCATATAAATCCGGTAGTCCGTCGAGTATCACGAAGGATCTCGAATCAACCAATATACAAGCCAAGATCGTACATGATTCAACATACAAGCCACATGTTACAACAAGTTCACAAATAGTTTGTCATACATCGGAGTTCCAACATAGTTATTACAACATCAGTTTAATAGTAGCGGAAGCAACATAATTCTGAACGACATCAACAGTAATTTAAATACATAGCCAATTTTCACAGTCATCTCCAACAAAAGCACAAGGGTGAGATGGTATATAGAATAACCATGCCCATGGTCCTATTCCTCATCCACTGCAGGAGCAAAGCAGTGCTTACAGTAGCCGTGGTACATCACGTTATCTGCAACAATAGGAAAATAAACCCTGAGTACGAGAAGGTACTCAGCTAGACTTACCCGTCATAAACAAAAAATAAGAGACACCAAGGATCATGCAAGGCTTATAGTGGAGCTGGTTGACATCCTTTGCCTACAAGCCAATATTTATCTAGTATCTTTTAACTTTTGAATAACAAGTTTATTATTCCCGTTCCATTCTAGATTAGCATCTATCCTATACCAAACATGTTGTGTACCATTAAATCATCACAATAGTAACCATATCAAGTTGAGCATTTTCATAACCCACATAACCAACACTTTCATCAATTACTACGATGAAGGGGGCTCATGTCAAGATCTCATTATCCGGGAGAGACGACGATTCGAATCGATTCCTACCTAGCTTGGGAATTATTCCTAACACACACCCATACTTCCCCCGTCAGGGTCGCATCGGGTCACCTTTGGTACAACTCAGGTCCAATTCGCGGGTAAGACCAGCGCCGCACCCTCAAAGATACTACCAATCTGCCAGGAGGCTCGGGACTCGAACCTGCCCTTGGACTCACGCCATTGGTTCTCCACACATCCTTACTGCCTCCAGGGTGCGCACTTTAACTGCTCGTGTCCCCAGCCTGAGTTGAGCTACTCGGCTTCGCGGTCGGAACGACTTATCCGACCAACTATGTGAGAGGCATGCATTCAACATGACAAGAGGGCCTCCAACAGCCGGTCCTTAAACGACACAGACGGAATCACTATACGTCACCACACCTAACATATAAGATTCCATCCGGTCTCCAATTTTCCAACATCACCAGGTTATGTTCCACGATAGCACAATATAGCCAACCGTGATTAAGTCACCACATATAGCTCGCAGGTGACATGAAATCACCCGACTTCTACCGGTCTAAGCATGGCTAAGCATAAAGTTCGATTCTGGACCTACATAGGATTTAAGATAGATATTTCTGAACAAGGAAAGTATATGCAACAAGTGGTTCCAATCAACTCTTATAACCTAATGCATTAAACATAAAGGACTCAAGTAATATCTTGTAAAACATGGGAGACTTAGAATGCTCCGGGACTTGCCTTTCACAAACGTGGTCGGCGGTGGTCAGGGCACTCTAGGAGATTATCAACTTCAGGCTCGCCTTCACCTAGTGCTTCTTGGTGCTGAGCTTCCTGGTTCTCCTCTTGTGGATCGGCTTCGAGTTCCACCAACGTGATTTCTTCCGCTGCACCTATTGCATGCACATGCATAAAGTATCATGGATGCATAAGAAGAATTGTGAATAATATGACATGAGAACGTGCATGATTCTATGCTGATGATTATATCAAGTTACTTAGATGATAACCAAGTTGAATTCTTATTTACTGAGTAGGTGCATATCTCTTCTCTCGAAATTTCAAGAATCCACACTAAGTCCATTTCTGGACCACAACACAGCAGCTACAAGTTTAGATCAAAACTGGAGTTTTACTCAACCAAATGCTATGATCTAGGACTTTCTGGAAAGCTTATAAAATTGCCTACAACTCTCATTTAATCACCAAAAGTTGATTCAACCTCTACCCTAGTCAAAACAGGTAAATTTACCAGGTCTGTCCAGAAATTCCAGAGAGTAAATATTTCGGGAGATCAACTTCTAACAGCCAAAACTCCTAAACCATTTGGCCTATTGCCTTGAAATTTTGACACAAGCTAGATAAAGAAGTTCTCTACAACCTTGTTATTAACTATTTTTACAACAAATCTCATCTTGTCAATGCAATTCACCAAGTGACAGAATTTGTCCAAAACAACCTCTATGATGGAATTATAGCAATAATATTTTCACTGCATATAAGCATTCAAAATTGGACATCACCAAATGTACCAACAGTTCATAGACCTCAATTACACTCTAGAAAGCATAATGGTCAAGCCCAATTTATTTATGTAAATACATTTATTAATTTAATTAGATAATTAGGTGAAATAACAAACATATACCAAATGTGCACAGTAAATTCTCAGAAAATTACAGTAGCTTCCAAGTGCTCCCAATAGGCTACTGTATAAATTTTCATACCATTTGAACATATATAACATCCTCTACAAAAGTGACAAGCTAGCAAGGTTTATTTTAGTGAAAATAGTTACCCCTATTGAAAAGTGTCAAGCAACAGATTTAATATTTTTCTTAGCTTCACCATAACACATGAACATTGTACAAAAATTTGCATGAGCCCAAGTTATGTATTTTTGCCTTATTTATTTTCACTAGAAACTAGCATTTATTTAGGATTAAATAAGACCATATCCAAAGTATGACCACTGCAAGTTTAGTATTTTTCCTAGCTAGAGCATGTAACACAAGATCAGCAAAATTGGAATCATAATTTTATCACTTCCCTAGCTCCAGTTATGTATTTTACAAGATTGCAAACAATTTAAAAGCACTTATTTAGCTCCATTTAATTCTTCCAAAAAATATCAGAAACAGTGCATTTCATATTTTTACCAAATACTACACTTCATGAGGAATCCAACAAAATTTGGTTCACCAAAATTGGACACTCCTAGCTTGAGATATGAATTTTTGAAATAAGCATTCAAATCTAAAAACATAAATCAGAAATTCAAACCATCACAGACTGACAGCTAGGGGCCCGAAGTCAGTGGGACCCGCACGTCAAACACACAGAAGCAGAGCACGGTGGTTGACCGATGAGAGTTCGCCATCGGTGAGGTTTCCGATGGTAGCATCTACACCGCTGCACTCTACACGTCGAGCCGCGTCGGTAGGTGTGCTCGGTTTGCCCGGAAGCTCACCGGAAGTAGCTCGCCGGAGGGTAATGGCGGACGGCGGAGGTCGCGCGGCGGTATGCCGGCATGCTCCGGCCACCATACGCTCCGGTGAGGTGCTCTACAGCTTCGCGGTAACCTAACGGAGATAACCAAGGTGGCTAGGGTTTCGGTGATGTGACGGCGAGCTTGGTCCGTATGCGTGGCCGCGCGGCGGCGCTCGGTGCACGGCGGTGCTCTCACCGTTCCGGCGAGATGGCGGCGGAAGAGAGGTCTCCGTCATGCCGTTAACTAGACCTAGGGTTACCCTACCGAAGACGCAAGAGGACGGAGGGATACGGTTGACTAGCGCGACGGCGACGAGCTTAATTGCCACGACGGCAATGGCGGCCGCGCGCAGAGCGGCGACCCATTCCGGCACCGACACGCGATGGCGTCATCCCTAGATTCGGCCTAAGCTACAAGACTCTAACGGGGTGTTGGACCAAAGGAGATGGAGGCGTGCGGGGTAGTGGAATGGCCGGGCCACGGTGAGTCGCTAGCACAGTGGCGGCGAAGCGAAATGCGGCCTTACCAAGGCTCGGCAAGAGGGGCTAGCGGGTCGGGGTGGAAGAGGTGACGATGGCGAGTCAAGGTGCGGCCGGATTGGGCGGTGGTGCAAAGAATTCGGGCATGAAGCGGCACGGCGGAGCGACGGCGATGGCGATGATGGCGGCGCGGCAGCTTCGCTTTGCTTTCGGCGTGAGCGCGAGAAGGCGCGAGAGTGAAGTGAAGCGCAAGCAGAGGCGCGACTTATCCTCCTCCGTTACTGGCCTAACCGTGGCCCGGCGCCGGCCAGACGGCCGTCTGGCCACCTGGCTGGCCTGCCTGCCTTCTCGGCTCGGCCACTAACGGCAAGTGGGCGTCCATGACCATCGAGCCCCGATGACACGACTGGCAGAGCGACTTTGATCCCCTGTATCTCCCAAACCAGTCAGAGTTAGCAAAAATTCTCTGAATAGAAATTGTAGAGCTACATGTAATCTACAAACTTGCTTTAAGAAGCATCCCCAAATTCTCAATGGTTAGCCAGTTACAATGCTCCCAAGTGAGGTACATTGAAACTATAAACAGCACTAAGACTTAGAAAAATTTTAGCAAGTCCAAAACAGCATTTCTTGCTACTTGTGAGCTATTTTTTAGCATGCTATGCACCGAATTAGGTCTTGACCCAAAAATAAAAGTTGTTACTCTAGTCAAGTACTACAACTTTGCTTAAGGGTGCACAACCATGCAAACACTCTAGGGCATAGTTCAACTTAGGTCAAACATACAACTTGAAAATGAAAACTTACACTATAACCATGACTTAGAGGCCAAATGGGTCCAAGCCATGAATATCAAAGTTGTTCCATGTGGCATTCTAAACATGTTTAAGGTACTCCTAAGGTAAATCCTAGCATATGTAAATCCTAGCATATGTAAAGCATTTAGTAACAAACACATGTGATATAAGCAATCATAGAGATAAAATTTGAGATGCTCGTGCTCATGAATGATCCATAATGCTTGTGCTTATGCGATGCCAATGCCAAATGCATGCTTAACACCTAGGGTGTTACAGCACTATGAAGCTGCATGCACAGAAGTCACTGATCAAAGACAACCGATGAAGTAGCATCATTCTAATTGCTTCATGATTAATTTAAAGATATATAGAATAAAGAAAGCAGCAAAAGAAACTTATCTAATCTTGCATTTCATCAAACAGTTTATGAGCATGGGCTTGGCATTTCATCAAGCACCTCATGTAGGCACCTGTGCAAACACAGTAGTAGGTGCCAGCCTGCCGGGAGCCACAATGGAGGTTTGTCTGCTGCCCGTCATGCTTGACGACACTGCCGCCGAGGTTGCTTGCACTCGAAATCAAGAAGCAGATCAATTTTTGGGAAACCAGAGAATAAATCAGAGAGACGCAAAAGATGGTTGATCCGAACATCCGTACCTGAGATCCTCCGCATCGGAGGCTGGCCTTCCCATTGGTAGCAACCCCGATGACAGATGCCCCCATGAGCCGCTTTCCCAGCAGTAGCAGCACATCGGCGAGCTCCTGCATAAGCTCGCGCCAGATCCAGCCATGGAAGATGCTACCGTCGCCGCGGAGACGGGTGCTGCCGGCATTGTCGCGACCGAAGGGGATGGGGGCTGCCGCATTACCGTTGCCGCCACGACCCACTGAGGCGGATAACGTCACCGCCGCCGTGCCTCGTGCCGCCGTCGCGCTCGAGATTTGGTGCGCTCGGGGGGGAGAATGAGGGGCATCGTCGTCTCGTGACACACAGACGCCGTTACGGATTCTTCAAACGCGGGTTTAGACCCGATAACCAAAACATTATTTCAGATAGATGACAACACATGCAACACAAATCTTAAAGCAAATCCAATGGTCCAAATTTCAACAGATTTCAACAACAAAAATCTATTGACAGATAAATAGCAAAAATCTAATAGTAATAAGAAAATAATAAATAAACTGGAAAGAGGAGTTGAGGCCCAACACAAGCAAACAAGCAGCATTTCGGCCCACTGGAACTGTGAAGAGGCGTAGGCCCCCCGCGCAACACAAACAAACAAGCAGCATTTTGGCCCATTGGATCCGGCTCCTCAGCCCAAACACTAACCACATAATTGCAGGACGAGTTGCAGTGGAGCCTGCCTGGGAGTGGGAGAGGAGGAAGAAGGGGGACGGAGGGCGGCGGCACGGCAGAGCAGACAGCAGAGCCAGAGCCAGCTCCGAGCAGTGCAGGCATTCCTCACCAAGGTCGAGGTTGAGTCCAGCAGCCTCTGCGCCTTCGCGTCCCTCCTCTCCGCTCCCCCACGGGGGGCTGGTGGGGGGCAGTCGCCACGCTGCAGTCCACTGCAAACTCCATTGTCACCGTCGCAGCGGCAGCTCCACCACCTCTCGCCACGGCAACCTCCGCGGCAGCGCTCCTCGTCCCACCGCCGACACCTCCTCCTCGTGAGTCTCGTCGCCCCAACCCCATTTTCCTGGCTCTTCGTTTGCCCTGGTAATGGATCTCTTCTCCAACACTTCTCCAATTGTTCAGCTAATCATCTGCCGGCCTGCCTCTTGTCACTCATTGATTTAGGGTTGATTCCATCCAGTTGTAGTGCATTGCTGTGGTGCAGAGAACATTCCCAATAGTTCGTACGCTTGCACGCACGTTTCCACCTCCTTGTTTACTTGTTTGTAGGACGGATTTGTTTTGCTCGACAGCGGAACACTGTTCATGCCTGCATCTGCACTGCCATTCCAGTTTGGGCGAGCTCGTTTTGTTTTGGGCGATCACATTCCGCTCCAATTGATTGTTAGTGATACTGCTAGTCGCTCCCCAGTTGTAATCCATTTCACTTCCCCAGCCCCTCTACTTGCTTGGGAAGGGCTTCTTCGAGTCATTTTGCCATGCTGAGTTTTACAAGAAAGACACTTTTCCTTTCAATCATATGTTCCTAACATACCGGTGCATTCTTTCATGCAGGACTTTCAGATGTCTTTTGATATCACAGAAAAGGATTGCCCCTGCTCTCGCTGCTGCGAATGCCACCGACGTTTCTTGCGCCCTACAATATTTTGGCATTGGACTTGATAGTTGGCAATCTTTCTTGTACTGGACGTTCCAGCTTTCACCAACTTGCTGCTTCTTTTCTACCTACAACCACATCTTTTCCTTCTTTCCAATTTTGTACCTCATTACCATCAATTACTGCTAAAAGTGAAACAAGTGTTCTCCCTATGGCCAAGACATCTCTTCCTCCTGGATTCCGGTTTCATCCAACTGATGTAGAACTCACAGTCTACTATTTAAAGAGGAAGCTACTGGGAAAACACTTACGCTGCAATGCTATTACTGAGATTGATCTATACAAGTTCGCCCCTTGGGATCTTCCAGGTATTGCACCACAGCAGTTTCATTTATTTCTGTGTCACTAGGAGTCAAAAGGATCTGTACAATTACCATCACGTGCATTTCTGTATCGTTTTGCATTTGTCTGTAAATATCTTACTTTTCAGATGACGGATCCTTAAACTGTTCTGATGGTTTATTGTCTCTTGTTTCACTTTTTTATAGAGAGAGCTTCCTTGGAGAGTAACGATCTAGTGTGGTATTTCTTTTGCCCACGCGATAGGAAATATTCTAGTGGGTTAAGGACTAATCGCTCAACTGGAGTTGGATATTGGAAAGCTACCGGGAAGGACAGGCTGGTGGTATATAATTCTAGGACTGTTGGGATGAAGAGAACTTTAGTGTTTCATCTTGGCAAGCCACCACGAGGTGATAGAACTGACTGGGTAATGTACGAATATAGGCTGGAGGACGAGGAACTAGCTGCTTCTGGTGTTAAACTGGTATGGCCCCTTTATGTGTTTGATGTACTTTCATTATTAACCTTATTAAATGCACCATTTTGCAGACTACCATCCTTCTTTAGGCAGATTACTCTAATTTGGCCGTATGTAGTTCTTTTATAGAAGTTTGGAATTGAACAAAACCATTGAAATTCTGAAAATTTGCTGAGGTGATTTAAATATTTGGAGAGAAAAAAAAATTCTTTTGCTCCTTCAATTGATAGATATTTTTCTCGAAAACGCAGGAGAACTGTGCTTTATTATATTAAGAAGAAGAAAAAGGGGGAAGAGACCCCCGTACAACACACACCACCCCACTCCACTTTAACAAAAATACATACGCGCCTGTGAAAACATAGAGGCGACCAAAGCTAGACTAACTCAGGCTACAGAACTACTTGGGGGGGGGGGGCAAGAATGAAAGCCCCGAGTCCCAGCCAAAGCCCACAACCGACGCTCCTCCAAGACAAAACCCAAAGCACCGGCCAAGCTAGGAGCAGCTCCATCGAAAACACAACTATTGCGGTGATTCCATATGGTCCAAGGTCCTAGGATCACAAGAGAGTTGAACCCCTTCTTTGTTAACCCAGCAATAGCGTTGTTTGATCTTTCCCACCACCAATCAAAGGACTTATTGATAGATCAAGTTCCCTCCCGCTGACTGTCACTGCCAGCCAGAACAGAAAGCTCCTAATGGGGAATGTTGCGGTTTATTGAGTATTTTGGTTGAGCAGAGGCCTGGTGCAAGCGGTAGAGTCTTACCGCCTGTGACCGGAAGGTCCTGGGTTCGAGTTGCGGTCTCCTCGCATTACACAGGTGAGGGTAAGGCTTGCCATTGACACCCTTCCCCAGACCCCGCATAGAGCGGGAGCTCTCTCATGCACTGGGTACGTCCTTTTTTTTTAGAGTGCATAGCTCTGGATCATGTGCCAACCTGCGTGACTGAACAAATTTGCACATTAAGTAGAGAACAGAATGACACAAACATTTGTACAAGAGTTGGCTCATTTGATATTAGCTCTTTGCTGAATTAGAGAGTTACCAGTGGCATGCTTTGTTGTATAATTTGTTTCTCACCTCCTCCTTGCAGGATGCCTGCGTTCTATGCAAAATCTTTCAGAAAAGTGGTCCAGGGCCCAAGATTGGGGCACAGTATGGTGCTCCATTCAACGAAGAAGACTGGAACGATGCCAGCAATGTAGAATGTTCTCCATGTGCCCCTTCTGTGGCCCCTTGCGTACCTGAATCAAGACATGGTGTGTTGAATTCTGCTGGTCAACACCTGGCTGTGAGTTATGATGGCAAGGTTTCCTTGGGCTCCTCAGCAGAACGTATCAACAGGCCTGCTGTCAATGGAGTTCATCCTGATAGACCTTCTCCTGATATTCCTAATGATTGCATACACATACAACTGCTAGCTGAGATTATCAGATGTTCCTCAATGCATCTTTTATGTACTGGTGGTGAAGATGGTTTGCTGGTAATTTCGTTGGCACCAAGCTCCTTTCTTTTTTGTTTTCTTTTTTTTGTTAGCTCCAGTAACTTTTTTATTTCTGGTTTCGATGCAGCCTGATTCAACTGCTGACTATGATAGTGACAATAGAGTATCTTTGGATGATGTTGAAACAATATTCTGTGAAGTGGATGAGCTTGGGCCCCAGGCTCTGGTGAACAACACTAATCATTGTGACTCATGTGGTGAACATTTGATTCACCCTATGCTGGTAGCACGAGGAGCCGAGCAGTACTTAGAGCTAAATGACCTGTCCTTTTCTCTCACTGATGGTCCTGATTCCTGTGGTATGTTGTTTTCCAATGATGTATCTGTTGAGCAGCCACCAGATCTTGAGCTCAGGTTTGAGCAGGTCTCTCCGGCCCACATCTCCAATACCGCTAATGCTTCCACATCAACAACTGCTGGTTCATCTGCTTCAGTACCCTTAGCTGAGGATCACAGGACCTGATTCAGAGTATATTGGCTGTCACTTGCTTCCTTGAGGTTTTGATGGTTGCTAATCTATGTGTTTTCTGTGTGTTGATAAGAAACGTGCTAAGCAAATTGGTTATCATTTTGCAGATTGGAGTCAGCTGGCGCACACGTTAATGGAATCTAGGAGGATCTCGAAGACACGGCATAATTCTCCTTTTTCCATTTCGTTGAAGTGAGCAGTATGCGGACATGAAGGCACAATTAGTGACCACTTGGCACAGAAACATCTCTGTGGTGCAGTTTGTGTGAATCCAGGAGCATTCCTCTGCCCGTAGATTTGCATGGTAGAAGTTTCTTCCCCCCCCCAAACCACAAATGGGTTGAGTACTGAATAATGCACTCATTGTATTAACAACTTTCCCTAGTGTAGTAGTAGTTATCTGGATCTTTTGGGTAGAGTGGGGCAATGTACTTACAGCCTGTTGCAATGTAGCGGCGATCTCGGGCGATTGTGATCTGACTGTAACCTGTGACAGTATCTTGTTTGGTTACCAGGATTTGCTAGTGTCCGGGCAAGATGCAGTTTTCTTTATAAATAATTTTTATTTCTGAAGATTGATGAAGATGCCGCTGCTATTTTGCTGAAAGAAAAAGAAAGCCTTTCAGTGTCGCAAGACTTTATAATTTGTGTAGACGCTTATATATATATATATATATATATATAGTTTCGATTATGAAATGTTCTGCTAAATATCACGCACTGGCTATGTCTACTAGTCCTGGGAGAGTAGGAGAAGGGACAGGAAGGGGCCTGGCCCACCGGCTACGCCTACGCCCCGGCTT